AATTTAAAAAAAATCCTATTAACAAAATTTCCCTATTAGGAAATTTTTTCCTATGGGGAGAAATTTATATTTTTTGATGAGAAATAATTAAGAATTAAATATAGATTTCTCATTTGAAATAATTTGTAAAAATTCATAAAATAAAATTATTGGGAAATTATTCTTTATAAAGGGAAATTTTTAGTTTTTGATATAAAATAGTATAGAATTCCTATATATAGCATTTTCAGATTAAATGAAACCTTTTTGTCAATATATTAGTTATAATTAATTGATTTAATTTAAAACTACTAAAAATAAAAATGTTTTGTTATTTTTCCTTCTATAAATTTAAAAGTTTCATTTGATTTGCAAAAAGTTTCATTTCGGTTGCAAATGGTATCACTTCGGTTGCAAAAGGCTTCATTTCCACTGCAAAAGGTTTCAATTCCACTGCAAAAGGTTTCATTCCCGCTGCAAAAAGTTTCATTTGAATTGCAAAAGGTTTCATTTAATCTGAAAATGCTATAGATTCCAGATTTAAAAGAATTTTTAAGAAATTCGCTAAAAAAAATTTCCCTTTTAGGAAATTTTTCCCATAAGGGGAAATTTTGTTTTTATGATGCCAATAGTATAAAATTTTATATACATTTTAGATTTGAAACAATTTTCAAAAATTCCTATTAACAAAAATTTCCCTTTGGGACATTTTTTCTATGAGGGGAAATTAGATTTCGGATTTGCAAGATTTTTAGGAAATTTGCTAGAACAAAAATTTCCCCTTTGGGAATTTTTTTCCTATAAGGGGAAATTTAAATTTTTTTGAAATAAAATAGCATAGAATTCCATATAGATTCCAGATTTGAAAGAATGTTTAAGAAATTCGCTGAAACAAAAAGTTCCTTTATGGGAAATTTTTCCTATAAAGGGAAATTATATTTTTTGATACCAAATAGTATAGAATTTCATATAAAATCCAGAATTGGAAGAATTTTGTAAAAATTCGCAAAAATAAAAATTTCCCTTTTGGGGAAATTTTTTCAGTAGGGGAAATTATATTTTTATGGTGCTAAATAGTATCGAATTTCATATATATTCCAGATTTGAAAGAATTTTTAAGAAATTCGCTAAAACAAAAACTTCCTTTTTTGGAATTGTTTTCCGATAAGGGAAATTTATATTTCTGATACAAAATAGTATTTAAGAAATTCGCTAAAACAAAAATTTTCCTTTTTGGGACATTTTTTCCGATAAAGAGAAATTTATATTTTTTGATGCCAAATATTTTGAGAATTTCACATAGATTTCAGATTTGAAAGAATTCTGAAAAAATTCCTATTAAGAAAAATTTCCCTTTTGGGAAATTTTTTCCCAAAAGGGGAAATTTATATTTTTAGATACCAAATTTTTGAGAATATCATATAGATTCCAGATTGAAAGAATTATTTAAAAATTCGCTAAAACAAAATTTCCCTTATTGGGGAATTTTTTTCTATGGGGGGAAATATATTTTTTGATGAGAAATATTTAAGAATTTCATATAGATTTCAGATTTGCAAGAATTTTAAGAAATTCGCTGAAAAAAAAAATTTCCCCTTTTTGGGAATTTTTTTCAAATTTAGAATTTAGAAATAGTTTAGAATTTCATATAGATTCCAGATTTGAAAAAAAAATTTAAAAAATCGTAAAAATAAAAATTTCCTTTTTGGGAAATTTTTTCCTATAAGGGGAAATTGTATATTTTAATGTCAAATAATTCCTTATTATATTGAAACATAAAACAAACAAACACATAGATTTCAGATTTAAATAATTTTTTAAAAATTCTTAAAAACAAAAATTTCCCTTTTTGGGAAATTTTTTACTATAGGGGAAATTTATATTTCAATTCCAAATAGTACAAAATTTCATATAGATTCCAGATTAGAAAGATTTAAAAAAATCGTAAAATCAAAAATTTCCCTTTTTTGTATTTTTTTTTAATTAAAAAAAAATTATAAAAACAAAAATTTCCCTTTTCGGAAATTGAGTAGAATTTTTTCCGTAAATTAGCAAATTTGAAAACCCGCCCTTTGCTCAGGCCTACACGCCATGACGTACATACCTACATGTCTGTCACCTATTCCCCATTGTTTGCAAAATCCAATCTTTTGTTCTCATTTCAAATATCAATGTCACCCAATTCTAGATGTTGACATTATCTCACTACCGTATTGTCGTCGTATTGTACCAATTAATTTTTTTCCATAGAATTTGTAGGCAAGAGAGCAAAACAAAACTCGAATACATTGAACAATCATTTCAATTGTTTTCAGATACAGGAAATTCTTTCATTGCTGTTCCATTGAAATTCTATGGAAATTTTCTCAATAAAAAATCAAACGGCCAGGAGAGGAATGAGTGTCGGGAAAAAAAATAAATTTTAAAGGAATTCACGGTAGTATGGTAATTTTTTTGCAATTATTAATATTCTGGAGGGAGACTGGAAATATATTTTACTGTGAAAAGAGAGAGGAGGTGGAAAGGAGGTTTACTTAGCTTGAATTGTGGGTAGGACAGCTAAGGAGTCTTTTGTTGGGGTTTGGTTGAATTGAAGCCAATTTGACTTAAAATGCTTCATTTTAGATGATGGGAGTTAAGGGAGAAAATATTCTCCATCGAATTTCACTATAAGTCTCTGAAGAAACAAAGTTGATAGGAACAATATAAAATTGGGAAATAGATTGAAGTTGGGGGTACAAACAAACAAAAAAAATATTATATTGTCTTAATTTTTCTTACACATCTCAAATTGCGCGCCATTTGACCTTTATTGCTTAATTTTAGAAACAAGGTGATAATGAGAAAAATATTCAGCATCAAATTTCAATATGAGTCTACAAACAAAAGAAATCGCTGGAGCTATATATATCGAATAAATTTCGAACCAAATTAGGATATACATAAAATATATATTTAGCTTAATTTCTTTTATTTTTTCAATTTTTGGGCATTTGGTCATTAATTCTTTGTTTTATGGGTCGAGTGCTAATAGAAGTCCTTATCGAATTTCACTATGCATCTTGGAAGAAATGGAAACGGTTAGGACCAGCGTAAGTCCGGGAAATATCGGTTCAAATTGGGATTTACAATTTTTTGGGGGTAATGTTAATGGAAAAATGGTTCGCCATAAAATTTCACTAAGGTCCGTGAATAAAAAAAAGCTCTAGCTATAACAATATTATGAAATACTACCAAACAATTTAGGGTATGCAAATTTTGGCCGATTTTGCACTTTTTCCAGATTTTAGGTTTTTTTGATCAATAATTCGTCATTTTTGGAGGATATTGTCAATGGAAGAAATATTCTGCATTAAATTTCACTATTGGTTCCGAAGAAACGAAAACTGTAGCTATAATACATTTTAATAAAATATCCTCGAAGGAAATTAGAAAAAAAATATCGTCTCTTTTTTAGACATGTTCTCACTCCGCGGCAATTTGGGCGATAAGTCTACGTTTTTGGCACTTGATGTTAATGGAGGAAATATTCTACATCAAATTTAAGTATAGGCCTTCAAACAAAAGAATTGCCTAGCTGTAGTATTTACCCATGAAAACTTATATTCAATTTGAGGTATGAAATTTTTTGGTCGATTTTGTACTTTTTTCGTTTTTGGGAAATTTGACCTACATTTCTTCATTTTAATGGAATACTGTTAATGGAAAAATGGTTCGCCATAAATTTCACTAAGGGTCCGTGAATAAAATAAAGCTCTAGCTATAACATATTTCAGAAAAATACTACCAAACAATTTTGGTTATGCAATTTTTGGTCGATTTTGTACTTTTTCAAGATTTTAGGCCTATTTGGCCAATTATTCTTCATTTTTGTGGAACAATATCAAAGAAAGAAATATTCTCCATTGAATTTTACTGATGATTCCAGAAAGAAACGAATACTGTAGCTATAATACATTCCCATGAAAATATTCCCCAAAAGAAATTATAAAAAATATCGTCTCATTTTTAGACATGTTCCCACTCAGTTGTAATTTGGGCCATAAGTCTTCATTTTTGGCAGTTGATATCAATGGAAGAAATATTCTACACTACATTTCACTATAGGTCTTCGAACAAAATAATTGCCTGGCTGTACTATGTATCCATTAAAAATCGTAAACAATTTTGGTTATAAAAGTTTTTTGGTCGATTTTGTACTTTTTGGTGTTTGGCCAATTTGACCAATTATCCCTCATTTTTGGGGAATAATGTCAACGGAAGAAATATTCTCCGTTGAATTTCACTATAGGTCTTCAAACAAAAGAGTTGCCTAACTGTACTCTATACCCATTAAAAATCGTAAACCATTTTGGTTATACAATTTTTTGGTCGATTTTGTACCTTTTCGTTTTCGGTCAATTTGACCCACTTTTCTTCATTTTTGGGGAATAATGTCAGTGGAAAAAATATTTTCCATTAAATTTCACTATTGGTTCCAGAAGAAACGAAAACTGTAGCTATAATACATTCCCATGAAAATATCCACAGAGAAGATTAAAAAAAATATATCGGCTCTCTTTTTTTAGATATGTTCCCACTCATTGGCAATTTGGGTCATAATCCTTCGTTTTTGGACACTTGATGTTAATGGAAGAAATATTCTACACTAAATTTCACTATATGTCTTCAAACAAAAGAATTTCATAGCTGTAGTATTTATCCATGAACACTTATACTCAATTTTAGGTATGACATTTTTTTGGTTGATTTTGTACCTCTTTCGTTTTTGGACGATTTGACCTACATTTCTTCATTTTAATGGAATACTGTTAATGGAAAATTGTTCGCCATTAAATTTCACTAAGGGTCCGTGAATAAAATAAAGCTCTAGCTATAACATATATCAGAAATATACTACCAAACAAATTGGGAATAAAATCAGATGTTTTTTTTATTCATTTTATTATAAATTTAAATTATTTTCTATATTTAAACTTATATACTAATTAATGTTCCTTCTTATTTTCTCTTTTTTCCAGACATGGTACTACTTTTCATGAGCTCAGCAAAAAAGTTATGCTTTCCTAAACACCAGGTTTGTGTAGTGAAATTATAATCAAATTAAAAAATATTAACCAATTTTTTTTTCTTACAGCAAAACAACAATAACAACTTAACAACGTTTTACTCAACATAACAAAGAACTTTTGTTGTAATTGAAAACCCACTACATTAAAAATACCAATAACAAAATCAGGAATCTTCGTAAAAAAAATTCACGTTTTTTTGAGAGGAACTTTGTTTAGTGTATAGTTTTCAGTTCACTTTTTTAGGTATTCACCTGCACTCCCCATCTAAGAAATATCTATATATTATTGTTAATTCCATTTAGTTACTATTTTCATTAGAAAAAAAAAAACTATTTATAATTTATTAAACCCCATAAAGTCCCGCTTCATAAATTATTTATAAAAAAAAAAACAAAGAGGCTTTTTTCCCCCCACCACAGACGTTAATCTCTGTTTACCCCTAAGGCGGTAGATAAATTAACGTTAAATATATTTCCAAAAGAAAAAATAATTCTAATTAAAAAAAAAGTATTTCTTTAAGTATTCCTGTCGTCATTTCGGCCAGGTTTTAAAAAATTTCCCTCAACTGAAAACCCCGAAAAATGAAATTTAGCAAAATGAAATTTAAGCGCAAATTTGGTGGCTTAAATATTTGAAAACAAATATTTATTTTTCCTAAAACAACAAAAAAAAAAAATCAAAACAAGCAAAACCAAAGCAAACAACCATCCTTTCCTTAAACTCCAAAAGAACACATATACACTCACTCAAAATTTCAATACCCTACCAGCATTTTTATTGAAAGTTCGAAAGGATTTGCTTTTGGCTAAACACCCACTGATTTTTTTCAAAGTATTTCCCAAGCAAAAAAATATTTATAAGTTTGCATCTTTTGTCCGTCTGGCTGTCTCTCGTTCTGTCATTGATTTTGTTTTTAAAACAAAACTAAGGAAATCCTTAACGCCGCTCATCCTCTCAAATAGAAAGCCAAGCTTTATAATTTAAGTCATCTCCCATTACCTCTCGATATTCTCTTTTGTTATTGTCATCGTTGTTGTTAATTTTGTAATACGAAGAAGAAAAACCCAAAACAAGAAAAAAACTACCTGAAAGCATTTCGCAAAACAAAAGCTCATTAGCAGAACGTTTTCATCATGGAGCCTTTTACACCGGAAGTCCTGTGGATTGTTATTGTCGGTTTTATTATTGCCTTTGTCTTGGCCTTTGGCATTGGTGCCAATGATGTGGCCAATTCGTTTGGCACAAGTGTTGGATCTGGCGTTTTGACCATACGGCAGGCATGTGTTTTGGCCACCGTCTGCGAAATATCGGGAGCTGTATTGATAGGTGAGCTTAAAAACCTTTCCACTTTAAAAAATTCTCTCTAACCCCCCTCCACACTTTTCCTGCAGGCTACAAGGTTTCAGATACCATGCGTAAGGGCATTCTCGAAGTGGAACTCTATGAAGGCTATGAAGATGAGTTGATGTTGGGCTGTTTGGCTGCCCTGGCCAGTAGTGCCATATGGCTGTTGGTGGCCACATTCTTGAAGCTACCGATTTCCGGTACCCATAGCATTGTGGGCTCAACTATTGGCTTCTCGTTGGTAGCCAGAGGCACCCAGGGTTTGAAATGGTCAACCATGGGTACCATAGTTGGTTCTTGGTTTATATCGCCGGTCTTAAGTGGTTTAGTTAGTATTTTGCTATTTTTGGCAATACGCAAATTTATATTGAGAGCCGCTGAACCGCTTAAAGCCGGTTTCCGTTCGTTGCCCATATTCTATGGTGTGACATTTTTCATAAATGTCATCAGTGTTATGTTGGATGGACCAAAGTGTAAGTTTGATATACCCGAAATATTCGGAAACCATGCCAATAACTCTTGTCTTACAGTGCTTTATATGGATAACATACCCACCTGGTTGGCTGTGACTGTTAGTGTGGCATTGGGTCTATTGGTGGCCGTATTGACTCAGCTGGTGTTGGTGCCTATGCAGAAGCGTAAAATTGCCAAACAATTAAGATCTAAAAATCCTGTCAAATTTCAATTTGAGGATTCTGTGGGTAAGTGGCAAATCACTCTGACATCACTTGGAAAGAAAATATTAATTAAATTCCCCCTTTTTTAGAATCCTCACCGTCCGGTAGCCCTAAGAAAAATCGTCGTCCTCTCAGTTTGGTGAGCGATGGCAAACAACTGCCTGCAATTGCCGAAATTACCGAGCTGGTCTCGTTGACAGACAATTCGCCAAAAACCTTTAAGCTAGCCCCCTTTAATTTGAACGGCACGAAACCGTTGAACGGCGGCACCACACCCGATGGCTATAAAATCAATCCGGAAATCATCAAAAAGGCCGAAGATCTCTTGGGCAAAGCCAGTCTGGACAATACCGATTTGACTATAACCAGTTTGAATTTTATTGACGAACAGGCCAACGGCAATGGAAATGGCTTGAATGGTCTGAATGGTCTCCACAAAACGACACCCAAGGATAATTTGAATTCATTGGAAGCTTGTTTTAAGCCACCACAACAAATATCTGCCACTCAGCAAACAAATGAGCTTCCTAATCTAAATGCCAATGTCAATGCAACAGCAAATAACAATAGCTTACCACCACCGCCACAATCCGCATTGAAAGTTTCCGATACGCTGGACATGGATGAATGTGATAAGGCAACAGCAAGCTTGATGCCGAACAGTATTGAAAATTCGAAAAATCTCAAAGTCATTGAGAGTGGTAGCAGTCTGGACATGATGATTTCCTCAACGCTGTCGCCAAATTCCAGTAAAGTTCCTTTAATTGAGAGTAAAGAAGCCATTAATGATTTTAAGAATCCCTCAACGGAACACAGCGACGAGGAGACGGAAGAAGTTTCAATGCTATTTTCATTTTTACAAATTTTAACCGCTACATTTGGTAGTTTTGCTCATGGTGGTAATGATGTGAGGTAAGTGAAAAAAAAAAAAAAACGAAATTAAAATGTGAGGTTATGTCTTAGATTTTAGCATTTACACATTTCTCTTGTTCGGTGACCCCTAGTGAAATTTTGTCAAGATCATATTTTCCTTTAACACCAACCCCCTAAAATGAAGAGCTAGGGGGGATTTGGCCCAAATTCGAGTTATATATAAAAAACTTTATTTTAATTATATCCCTTAAAATATTGTAAATTAAAAAGTGAGGTTATATTCGAAAGTTTTGAATCCTACAAATTTCCTTTGTTCGGTAACCCCTAGTGAAATTTTTTGAGGAATATTTCTTTCACTGGCATCACCCCGGTAAAATGAGGTCTTTTGCGTCATTTCCGTCCCAAATCGAATCTAACCTACAAATACCTTAATTTTATGAATGTAAATTAAAATGTGAGGTTTTTCCCTAGATTTTGAGGTCCTATATATGCCTTTTGTTCTATGACCCATAGTGAAATTTTGTGAAGAATACTTCTTCCATTGACATTATGCCCCTAAAATCAGACAAAAAAGAGGATTTTTGCAGATTTCCAATTTAAACTACAAATAACATAGTTATAGTATACATTAAAATTTTGTAGATTAAAAAGTGAGATTATGTCCCAGAGTTTGTTTGGAGACCTATAGCGAAATTTCGTGGGGAATATTTCTTCCATTTACATGATTCCGCTAAAATGAGGTATAAGGGGAGATTTTGCCTGATTTCCGATTTAACCTACAAACAACATAATTTTATGATATACCTTAAAAATTGTAAATTTAAAACTGAGGTTATATCCTTGATTTCTTGGTCCCACAAATTTCTTTTGTTCAGTAACCCATAGTGAAATTCGACGAGGAATACTTCTTCCATTGACATGTTTCCGCTAAAATGAGATATAAGAGGAAAATTTGCCTGGTTTTCAATTTAACCTACAAATAACATAATTTTATGATATACCTTACAAAATTGTAAATTTAAAACTTAAGTTATATCTTGATTTTTGCGCCCTACAAATTTCTTTTGTTCGGTAATCCATAGTGAAATTCGGTGAGGAATATTTCTTCCATTGACATGATTCCGCTAAAATGAGTTATAAGGGGGAATTTTGCCTGATTTCCGATTTAACCTACAAACAACATAATTTTATGATATACCTTAAAAATTGTAAATTTAAAACTGAGGTTATATCCTTGATTTCTTGGTCCCACAAATTTCTTTTGTTCAGTAACCCATAGTGAAATTCGACGAGGAATACTTCTTCCATTGACATGTTTCCGCTAAAATGAGATATAAGAGGAAAATTTGCCTGGTTTTCAATTTAACCTACAAATAACATAATTTTATGATATACCTTACAAAATTGTAAATTTAAAACTGAAGTTATATCTTGATTTTTGCGTCCTACAAATTTCTTTTCTTCGCTGATCTATAGTGAAATTTTATGAGGAACATTTCTTCTATTGACATAGTTCTGCTAAAATGAGGTATAAGGGGTAATTTTGTCTAATTTCCAATTTAACCTACAAATAACATCATTTTATGATATACCTTAAAAAAATGTATATTAAAAACTGAGGTTATATACTTAATTTTTGGGCCCATAAATTTCTTTTGTTCATTAATCCATAGTGAAATTCGACGAGGAATACTTCTTCCATTGACATACTTTCGCTAAAATGAGGTATAGTGGGTAATTTTGCCTGATTTCCAATTTAACCTACAAATAACATAATTTTATAATATACCTTACAAAATTGTAAATCTAAAACTGAAGTTATATCCTTGATTTTTGCGTCCTACAAATTTCTTTTGTTTGGTAATTCATAGTGAAATTCGACGAGGAATACTTCTTCCATTTACATGATTCCGCTAAAATGAGGTATAAGGGGTAATTTTGCCTGATTTCCAATTTAACCTACAAATAACATAATTTTATGATATACCTTAAAAAATTGTAAGTTAAAACCGAGGTTATATCCTTAATTTTTGGGTTGCACAAGTTTCTTTTCTTCGGTAAACCATAGTGAAATTCGACGAGGAATATATCTTCAATTGACTTGTTTCCGCTAAAATAATATATAAAAGGGAAATTTGCCTGATTTCCAATTTAATCTAAAAATTCCTCAATTTGAATAATTCTCAAATTATTTCGCTATGTATGTATGTCTTCCGATTTATGTATGTTGTTCTGCGACTTATAGTGAAATTTTGTGTAGAATTTTTTTCCAATCAACCCGATCCCCTAGAAAGAAATCCTGCGCTAAATTTGGCGGAAATTCAAAAATTTTTGAAATCAACCTTAAATTCTAAAAAATCAAAATTAATACTGTTATTTATTATATTATGTATTGAATGTACACATTTGATGCCGTTGGGGACTTGTAGTGAAATTTAGTGTAGAACATATTTTCCCTTTACACCAAATCTCTAGGATAACTTATTCTGGCAGTAATAAGCCATTTTCTATATGCATACTCACTTCATTTGCAAAATGTTCGCTTTTTATTTTTTCAAATTAATATTGATTTATTTTGCCCTATGCATTATATCTATCGATATCTTTTGTGTGGAGACTCATAGCAAAATTTAGTGTAGAATATGTTCTCCATTAACACCAATCCCCAAAATCGAGGTTTTATGGGACATTTTGCCTAAAACTTAAAAATAATCATGTCGGGCTTAACCATAACATTTGTATTTTTCTATTAATCAAATTAAATACGGCTAATTATTTTTATAAATATAATATCTACCCATTAGCTCTCTTTGAAGACTCATAGTAGAATTTGGTAGAGAACATATTTTCCTTCAACACCAACCCTCTAGGATGACTTCTTCCGGCAAAATAGGGCCTAAATCTAAAAGTCGATAAAATTAGCCTATTTTTTAGGTTATGTAAAGATTCCTTTTTTCTAATCGTTTTTCTGTTTCTCTTTTCTTTCCAGCAATGCCATTGGCCCCCTAATTGCTTTATATATGATTTATCGTGAAGGTTCTGTTATGCAAAAGGCCGAAAGTCCCATATATATTTTGATATATGGTGGTATTGGCATTTCTATAGGTCTATGGCTATGGGGTCGTCGTGTTATTGAAACCATTGGCAATGATTTAACCAAAATTACCTCATCAACGTAAGTATCCATTGGATTAGAATACAATTTTATATTAACCCTTTCCTTTTTCCTGTTCTCTTCTCTAGTGGTTTTACAATTGAAATTGGTGCTGCTATAACTGTACTGCTGGCCAGCAAAGTTGGTATACCAATTTCCACGACCCACTGTAAAGTGGGTTCGGTGGTATTTGTCGGTCATATAGCCTCCAAGGGAGCCAAAAAAGACAACAACAACAGCAATAATGGTGACACAAAGCAATCAACAACAGCAACAACCACTAAAACCGAACTAACCAAAGATGATATGCAAGCTTTAGAGAATGGTCCCGAAACAGCGGCCAAAGGTCATGGTCATTCCGATGGCAGTGTTGATTGGCATTTATTCCGTAATATTGCCTATGCTTGGATTGTTACGGTACCCGTAACGGCATTACTGAGTGCAGCAATAATGTTTATTTTATGTGTGTCAACCGGTGTTTAAGTCAAAGGAAAAACGGATGGTTTTTAAATTATTTAAAAAAAATAGTACTTAGCATGCAAACAAGAACAACAATAGTTTACAACAATAGATTATACAAAAAGAATACAAATAATTGTCAAAGCAGAGTTAATTCCATAATAAAAAGCAGATAATATTATAACAAAAAGCCTGCTTAGTTTGTATAACAGTTTTAATTTGTTTTTAAACTTTTTGTTTGTTTTCTTTTCAAAACTCTGCTCTACAATTCAGTTTTAATTTTTCTTTGTATGAAACTATAAACCTAACGAACTATCAATATTTTTGTATAACAGTTTTTGTATAACACTTTTTAAACACCAGCACCACACCACACCACACCACCCAGGGTATACATGTTTTATGTTATATTGTATTGTTTAATTATTACAACTTTCTTTCCCCGTATTGAACAGATGAAATACAAATTTTTAGTTTTGTTTTAAGAAAACGCAAACAAATATTTTTTTTTAATTTTTTTAAAATGGCTTAGTGTAAAGCAAACATTTGTGATTGTAATTATTTGAGAGAAAGGTGGAATTATTCAAAATTTTTATTTATAACCAAACAGAAATTAATTTTTTGTTGTTAAATAATGAATATACAAATTTCTTTTCTTCAGCGACCCATAGTGAAATCCGGTGTAGAATAATTTCTTTATGGACATCAGGTCCCTAAAAACACTTTGTGGCGCTCCAATGGGCCCTGAGACAAAAATATACAAAAATAACCTAACATTTGTGTATCTAAATTTAAAATTACTTTTTTCTTGATATCTATTAATGCTACAGATTTCCTCTATTTGGTGGCTTATAGCAGAATTTGTTGAAGAATTTTTCTTCTATTGACACCTTGCCATAAAACTAAAGTATTGTGGGTCAAATGGCCAGCAAGCTGAAGCTAATAGGAAATTTACCCAAAAACTGATTCAATTAAAAAAAAGAATATTTCGTTGTTAAATATCGATTATATAAATTTCGTTTGCTCAGTGATCCACTATGGAATTCGGTGTAGAATAATTTCTCCATTGACATCAAGTCCCTAAAATGCCTTATTTGCGTATTAATTTGATCTTCATGGGATTAATACAAAAATAACTTAGGAATTCGACATTAAAATTTGCAGCCACCCTTTTCTAGGTATCTGCTAGAGCCTCAGAATCCTTTTTAAAGAAGACTCATAATAAAATTTTCTGTAGAAAATATTCTTCATTGACAGCCAAAGACAGAAATTAAGTTTTATGGGTCAAACTGCCATCAACATGGAACCTGACCTAAAAAAATATTAAAAAAAAAATTAATAAATAATTAATAAAAAATTTAAACCAAATTAAAATGAATATTTCTTTGTTAAATATTGATTATATACATTTTCTTTGTTCCGTGACCCTCTATCGAATTCGGTGTAGAATATTTTCTCCATTGACATCAAGTCCCTAAAATGCCTTATTTGGGTACTAATTTGCTCTCCATGAGTTATACACAAAAAATAACCTAAAAATTCGTCATCAATATTTTAAGTCATCTTTTTCTTGGTATCTGTTTGAGCTACATAATTCTTTTTAAAGAAGACTCATAATAAAATTTTCTGTAGAAAATATTATTCATTGACAGCCACAAACAAAAATAAAGTTTTAGGGGTCAAACTGCCATCAACATGGAACTTAACCTAAAAAATTTTAAAAAAATTAAACCATACTAAAATGGGCATTTCTTTGTTAAATATTGATTATATAAATTTCGTTTGTTCAGAGACCCTCTGTGAAATTTAGTGTAGAATATTTTCTCCATTGACATAAGGCGCCTAAAATGGCTTATTTGGGTATTAATTTGGTCTTTATGAGATTAATACAAAAATAACCTAGGAATTCTACATTAAAATTTGCAGCCACCTTTTCCTAGGTATCTGTTAGAGCTACAAACTTCATTTTAAAGAAGACTCATAATGAAATTTTCTGTAGAAAATGTTCTTCATTGACAGCTACAAACAAAAATAAAGTTTTAAGGGGTAAACTGCCATCAACTTGAAACCTAACCTAAAAAAATATACCAAATAACCTCAAAAAATGACTTGCATTGAGAGTGCATTTTCTTTGAGTTAGGTTTAAGCTACAGATATCTTTTGTATGGAGATTTATAGTGAAATTTTGTGTACTATATTTCTTCCATTGATGGTTTTTGTCAAAAACAATGTTTTGTGGGTAAAAAATCTACAAAGAGAAAAACCAGTCAGTTTTAGACCCAAAACACTTGGTACGAAATGTATGACTTCTTTTGAGGGGGTTAGACTCTAGCTGGAAATTTCATTTGTTCCGTGACCTATAGCCAAATTCAATGAGGAATAATTTTCTCATTACAACTTTGGACCAAAACTGAAGTATTGTGGGTCAAAATTTGTCCTTTCTACTTGTCGAACTTAAAAAACCACTTAACCTCACTTTATATGTTTTAAATTAATTTAAAAAAAAATAATTTTTTGCATGATTTTTTCTTGAAAATTCCATTGTTTATATCTCTCAACAAAAAACCATCTTCTTTACTTGCTTTACATTAGGGCCATAATTGTTTTGAGCTTGAAATACCCAGAAAACAAAAACTGCTTCAAGGTTTTGAGAAAAAACAAAACACCAACTTAAAATAGAATTGAACAAAAAATTTAAAATATTTTAACTAAATACCCAATATAAGCCATAAAAATTCCTATTCTCCAATAAATTCACACAGCTCTTAAATGCAATAACAAGGAAATAACAACAAAACCCACAGCAACATTTAACACCTAATTACAAAGTAATAAACAAAACAGATACTGTCGTCATAAATAGTTAAGTTCATTAAAGAAACCAAAAAATATTTTTATTTCTTGGATAATAACAAAACAAAGCATTTCATTTATAAAAAAAAAAAACAACAAAAAACGAACAACAAAAACAAGCAATAGCATTTTTTGGGTTTTTAAATGTGAAAAAAAATACGAGAACGAGACGAAAATTACTTAGCTTAGCTTTAAAACAAGAATGTGTAAATTCTTTTGACATTTCCATGATTTTGTATTTTTTGTTTTCCCCCAATACTCTTCCTCATAAATATTTGTACTTAATTTGTGACTCAAATTAAATGGTAAATTCTATTGGCTTTTGGGAATTCTTGAGACAACCATTTGCCAATAGGAATTGCCTGATCTTGAGAGTCTTCAAACATGCCGTTTTTTCGAAATATTTTTCCTTTTTTTATTTTTCAAATCTGTGTCTATTTTTCTATACAACATTGAAACAAAATCAACCACAAATTTAACAAGAAAAAATAATAATAAAAAAGAAACTGAAAATAATTGATATTATCGCATAAGTGATTGCATACAATTAAATGGTTAATTAATATTATTAAATAATTGTATTGTATTAATTAACTATTATTATTATTAATATTATACAAACAAAACAAACTATTAAAACAATGATTGTAAAAGGAAAGAAAAGCAAAATGCAAAACAAAACAAACATGGAACGATAATCTCAAGAATCATAGAAAGGAAGAAGAAACAAAAAAAGAAACCTATGTAAAATGAAAATTATAATAACTGTTTATTAACATAACACGAAGAAGAAGAAGACGAGTAATTTTGAAATGTGTATTTGAAAACAAAAAATGTGAAAACGAAAAGACAAATAAAAAAATTTCAAAAAAAAAGATAATAAAAAATATGAAAGAAAAGAACAAAGAGTTCGAAGGCAAAAAGGACTCCACGAAAACAAAAAGAAACAATGGTGTTATTTTTTACATTTTAAGCGATTTGGAATTGGTATGGACCATAGCTATAGATTTTTGATCTGTGGGGACCTATAGTGATATTTTGTGTAGAATAATTTTTTCATTGGTTCCGACAACAAAAAATCAGGTTTTATTGATGAAAGGACCATAAATTCAAAAGATTTAAGATATGAGCCCAAAAATGTGATTCCTTTACATGTAAAGATTTAATGTGCGATTTTAATTGTTAAATTGTAAATCTATAGATTTCCTTTTGGTCAGAGACCCATAGTGAAATTTGGTGTAGAATATTTGCTCCATTAACATCTACCCCGAAAGAGGACATTCAATGGGTCAAATGGCCACCTAAATGAAATATGTAAGAAATTAAAAAAATTAAGTTTTCAAATGTCAAAACAAAATATTAATTTTTTATTGTGAAATTGTTAAACTACAAATTTCTTTTGGTTGAGGACATCTAGTGAAATCTTATTTAGAAAAATTCTTCCATTGGTTCCGACATCAAAAACTGAGGTTTTATGGGTCAAGAGGACCCCTTAATCTAAATGTGTATAATTGACCTAAAAAATGAGAATTTTTAAAATGTAAGAATATGTCATTGCCCTTTTTTCTTCAAAAATAATTTTATAGATTTCTGTTTGTCGGAGACATATAGTGAAATTTTATGTAGAACATATCTTTCACTAACACCCATCCCAAAATATGAAGATTTGTGGGTCAAAGGGGCACTCAGTCGAAATACATCAAAAATTTACACCAACAACGGATTTTTAAAATATAGAGAGTTAATGTTGTTGTTTTCATTGTTAAATTGTTAAACTACAAATTTCTTCTGGTTGAGGACCCCTAGTGAAATCTTATGTAGAAAAATTCTTCCATTGGTTCCGACATCAAAAAATTAGATATTATGGGTCAAAAGACCACCCACTCAAAATATGTATGAAATTAAATCAAATCAAAAATTTTTTAAATGTGAATATTTGTTATTACTGTATTTAGCTAAAAACTAATTTTATAGACTTATGTTTGTCGGAGATCCATAGTGAAATTATATGTAGAATATTGCATTCATTAACACCCATCCAAAAATATGAGGATTTGTGGGTCAAACACCACCCAGTCGAAATACATCAAAAATTTACCCCAAAAACGATTTTTTTAAATCTAAAGATTTAATGCTGTTATTTCATTATTAAATTGTTATAGTACAGAATTCTTTTGGTTGAGGACCTCTAGTGAAATCTTATGTAGAAAAATTCTTCCATTGATCCCGACATCAAAAACGGAGGTTTTATGGTAAGTAATTGACCCAAAAAATGTGCATATTTCAAATGTGAGAATTTGTTATTATCGTATTTTGTTTAAAAAATAGTTTTACAGATTTATGTTTGTCGGAAACCCATAGTGAAATTTGATGTAGAATATTTGTTCCATTGACACTTACCCTAAAATAAGAGGATTTGTGGGTCAAAGGGGCACCCAGTCGAAATACATCAAAAATTAACCCCAAAAACGGTTTTTAAAAATAACAAAGATTTAATGTTGCTATTTATTGTTAAATTGTTAAACAACAAATTTATTTTGGTTGAGGACCCCTAGTAAAATCTTATGTAGAATAATTCTTTCTTTGCTTCCGACATCAAAAAATGAGGTTTTATAGGTCAAAGGGCCACCCAATCGAAATATGTATGTTATTGAACAAAAATTTGGCTTTTGAAAACGAGAAGATTTGGTATTGCCATTTGTATTTTGTTAAATAATAGTTTTACAGATTTCTGTTCGTCGGAGAGCCATAGTGAAATGTATTGTAGAATATTTGTTCCATTGACACTTACCCTAATATATGAGGATTTGTGAGTCAAACGGGCACCTAGTCGAAATATATGAAAAATTAACGCCAAAAATGGCTTTTTAAAATTTTACGATTTAATGTTGCTATTTAATTGCTAAATTGTTAAACTACAAATTTCCTTTGTTAGGAGAGTCCTAGTGAAATTTTGTGAAGAATAATTCTTCCTTTGGTTTCGATATCAAAAAATTAGATTTTATGGGTCAAAAGACCACCCACTCGAAATATATATAAGTTATTGACCCAAAAAATGTGAAATTTTCAAATGTGAGAATTTTTTTTATTACCGTATTTTGTTAAACAATAATTTTACAGATTATTGTTTGTCGGAAACTTGTAGTGAAATTTCTTGTAGAATATTTGTTCCATTGACACTTATCCTAAAATATGAGGATTTTTGAGTCTAAGGGGCAGCTTGTCGAAATACATCAAAAATAACCCTTTAAAACAACTAAAATCTAAGGATTTAATGTTGCTATTTTATTGCTAAACTGTCTAACTGCAAATATCTTTTGGATGAGGACCCCTAGTGAAATCTTATATAGAAAAATTCTTCCATTGGTTCCGATATTAAAAAATGAGATTTTATTGGTCAAAGGATCACCCAATCGAAATATGTAAGTAATTGATCCGAAAAAATGAGAATTTTCCAAATGTGAGAATTTGTTATTATCGTATTTTTTTAAAAAAAATAGTTTTACAGATTTCTGGTTGTTGGAGACTCATAGTGAAATTTTAGGTAGAATATTTGTTCCATTGAAACTTACCCCAAAATATGAGGATTTGTGGGTCAAAGGGGCACCCAGTCGAAATATATGAAAAATTAACGCCAAAAATGGCTTTTTAAAATCTAAAGATTTGATGTTGCTATCTTATTGCTTAATTGTCTAACTGCAAACTTCTTTTGGTTGAGGACCCCTAGTTAAATCTTATGTAGAATAATTCTTCCATTGGTTCCGACATCAAAAAATGAGGTTTTATGGGCCAACGGTCAACCCACTCGAAATATGTAAGTGATTGACTCAAAAAATGTACTTTTTTAAAATGTGAGAATTTGTTATTACCGTATTTAGTTAAAAACTAATTTTATAGATTTCTGTTTGTCGGAGACTCATAGCGAAATTTTATGTAGAATATTTGTTCCATTGACACTTACCCTAAAATATGAGGATTTGTGGGGCAAAAGACCACCCAGTCGAAATACATCAAAAATTTACCCCAAAAACTGATTTTAAAAATCTAAAGATTTAATGTTGTCATTTCAATGTTAAATTGTGAAACTACAAATTTATTTTGGTTGAGGACCCCTAGTAAAATCTTATGTAGAATAATTCTTTCTTTGCTTCCGACATCAAAAAAGGAGGTTTTATAGGTCAAAGGGCCACCCAATCGAAATATGTATGTAATTGAAAAAAAATTGGCTTTTGAAAACGAGAAGATTTGGTATTGCCATTTGTATGTTGTTGAAAAATAATTTTACAGATGTCTGTTTGTCGGAAGCCCATATTGAAATTTTATGCAGAATATTTGTTCCATTGACACTTACCCTAAAATATGAGGATTTGTGGGTCGAAGGAGCACCTAGTCGAAATATGAAAAAATTAACTCCAAAAACAGTTTTTTTAAATCTACAGATTTAATGTTGCAATTTTATTGTAAAATTGTTAAACTACAAATTTCTTTTGGTTGAGGACCCCTAGTAAAATCTTATGTAGAAAAATTCTTCCTTTGGTTCCGACATCAAAAAAAGAGGTTTTATGGGTTAAAAGACCAATCTGTCAAAATGTTACACACATAAACGGAAAAATATGGCTTTTTCTAATATGAGGTATTAATATTATGATTTTTTTTGGTAAATACTAATTTTTCAGATTTTTCTTGTTTCAAGATTCATAGTAGAATTTTATGTGCTATATTTCTTCCTTTAACATCCGTCCCGAAATTCGAGTATTTATGGGTTAAATGAGCATCCACTTGAAATATGTGAGAAATTTTTATTAAAAAGAGAAATTTTTAATGTCAATATTTGGTCCTGCTATTTTGTTGTTTATAGTATATATACAGAGTCCTATTGGTCTGGGACCCACAGTGAAAATTTGTGTACTATATTTCTTTTATCGGCATCGTCTTCCGAAAAGGACATTTTAAGGGTCAAATTGCCAACTAGATGAAACAATTCAAAAATTATATTCTTTGAGTAAAAACATTTAATATCAACATTTTTGTAATATATATTGTAATATAGGTTTTCAATATTCTAAAATCTTAATTAAAATGTTATGTAGAATATTTTTTTCATTGACAACAAACCCAGAAAAGAAGGATTTTCCGCCCAAATAACAACCTAACCAAAAAATCTAAGAAATTAACCAAAAAAAAAAAAAAAAAAAAAAACAACTAAAAAATAATCCAAATTGTTAGAAATATTTTCCGAATATCTTTTAGAGCTACAAATGTCTTCTGTTCAGTGACTCATACTGAAATTTCGTGAAGAAGTTTTCATTCTTTGACATCATCCCCAAAATATGAGATACAATGGGACAACCGGCACCCAAATCGAAACATAACTTAAAAATGTGAAAAATAACTGAAAATATGACCCAATTTTGTACTAATATTTCATGGATATCTATCAGAGCTAAGCATATTTTCCGTTCAGTAACCTTTAATAAAATTTTGTGGAGAATATTTCCTTTATTGACATTGTGGCACCAAAATTAATTTTTGTGGGTCAAATTGCAACATAACCTAAAAATTGTTTTTAAATGACCGAAGAAATTACCCAGTAGGTAGTGTTGTTTTCTGGATATCAAGTAGAGCTACATATATTTTGTATTCTGAAACCAGTAAACCAGGAATTTTGTCAAGAATATTTTTTTCTTTGACTTCTTTTTCCAAAAATGAGGATCAATGGGTCAAAATGTCTTCAAATCGAAACATAACCTAAAAATGTCTGAAATGACAGAAAATTATAACCAATTTGATAGAGGTGTTTTCTTGAT